AATGCAATCGGCAATATAGGGATAAAACAGACATTTTTTTATTTTATTTTTACATTTAAACATCCCATAATATGAGCATAACTGTACCTAAATGAGTTAATTCCACAGCAGGCCCACTGTGCTTCTGCAGCAACACACACAAACATCTAGCTCCCAGGACAACCACCAGACTCCTCTCATTGGGTCCCTGGCTTGTTTCACACCAGTATACTGACTATAAAAGGAGTGTAAACCAGATGACAGCACTGCTATTTTAAATGAGGCACCTGATTATACAGAACATCACTATTTTGATCAGTTAATTTATGTTTTAAAAGAGTGAAAACCCTGTAATTCTGTTTTTAGATTGTTCTGGGATTAGGAAGGACTTAAAAAAATGATTAAACAAACTTCACGTGTCACAGAGTAAAAGATGTTTTTGGAGCTTAAAGGTACACTATGCAACCGGTGTTGATTTTCCAGTGAGGCTCCCTCCAGAGGGCGAAAGTAAAAGTGCACTGTCGTAAATATGCACAGCTGTTCTCCTGGTTTCTCCGTCAAGCCAGGCGCGGTTGTTTTGAGCTTAGCAGCGAATGACTAACGCTGCGTTCACACTGGACGTAGCTTGCGCGACAGAAGCAGCGAGTTTACATGCAAAGTCAATGGTTGACGCGCGTCAAGGCGCAACAAAAGGTCCCGCGGCGCGTTTTGAGCACCAGGCGCAGCGCGTCTGAGCAGCTGAAGCAGTGCGTCGGGTGCGTTTAACGCAGGGAGAGAGACACAGCGCTGATGATCAGAGGCTACGGTCTCTCCTCTTAAACAGTTTATTGACGACTAAATTAACTTAAAATGCAGAAATCTGCCGGCATAATATGCAGTTTGGATTATTTAGATGAAAAACACCTACCAGCTGCCGCGGTGAACCGCTGCTGATGAAGGGATCCCTACTGTCGGCGCCCCGCTGGTATGTGGGGGTCTGAGCGGCTCCGACAGAAAAAATATTGAAGGCAGGATAATAATCTGAATGAACTGACTGCACTGATTACGTTTTCAGGTGTATTTTCTCATTTAAACACATATTAAAACTACTTTATTCCCACTGATCACAGCAAATATAGCTGCAAGGCAGAGAAAGGATAGTGAAGCTCCGCCTAACGCGCGTCAGACACACTTTTGCACCGCGCAGCCAGAGCAGCAAAGCCGCGCGTCAGAACTAACTGGTACAAGCAGAAAAAAGGAAGCAGCAGACACGATTTTGCTGCTTTTGCTGCGTGAACGTAGCATAACTGCACAAAGATTGCCACTGTGCTAGCAACGAGAATGCTTTTAAATAGGGGCGTGTAGCAGTTCTCGCCGTAAAGCAAGACTGACTCTCACGAGACTTCTGAGCCTGTGGGTGCGGGTCGGTGCTCCTGCAGTTGCAAGTGCAGTATTTCCCCCACAGACCACCAGGGCGGCCGAGAATACCTTTTTCAACCTGAAATGACTCATTTAATCATCCATAACGTTATGGAACACATTAATTAACTGAAAAATGTTGCATAGTGTCCCTTTAAAATAAACTGAAAGCAAGCAAGAATAAAAGGGAGAATTTTAAAGAAAAATGTATTGGAACTTTGACAAGTTTTGCCTCTTCAGAGAAATATTAGACTAACAGGCACACTTCTGTGGCTCTAGATGTAGGCCAGATTTGACCACAACGCAGCACGACCAGCTCAGTACAGGAAGAGAAGAATACAGGCGGGGGATTCCAAAGAACAGCGATGAAAACGCTACTACCAACAGCCGGTTCACCTTAGACTTATACACGAGGTTTTCAGTCACATTTAGACAGACAATGGACAGAACTATTCATCATAGAGTTCTAACATTTGATGGTAACCTGACTGTTTTAGAACATGCAGAGATAATTTTGCAAAGAGATTTACTTTTTTGATGGTCGAAGCCAAAACTAAATCCTAGGTGGGCCTGCAGCTGTAACACTGAACCCACTTATGGTTGAGTACGAGCTGCATGCATAAGGTATAGAATCTGAAGATGAAGTGGTCATGACAGACTTATACCGTTCCTCTGGTACCAGTGTTGGTTTTAATTAATCTCATCAGAGACGCTCAGGATGTGAGTAGTTGCAGCATTACGACCCTTGCCTTGTGCACCAATCGCTGCTGGTGTAGCTTTACATATCAAATGATGGTTGAGGAAGGGGAGTGCCCCAAACTCTCCACCTGCTTTCCTCCTTGCAGACAGGACTCCACTGCACTGTAGAACTTATTAAAGTCAGCTATATGATGGTACTTTGACTACGACAAGAAGATTGACTGAAGCAGTTTGGAGGAAGAGGGTCACCCTACATGAAATTGGATTGTAGCAGTCAGATGAAGCTAATATTAGCCCTATTTGCTGAATGTCAGGCAAAGTTTATGCCATCCTGAAATGAAAAGCTACCTTTAGCATCAGGCATGAATGGAATAAATACAACCACAGTGTTACTGAGGCAGCTGCACAGAATCTGGACAGAAACGCACATGCTTTCCCACTGCAACTAGAATATTCTGGGCTGGGTGCTAAAAACCCTAAGAAAGTTTTGTCATTTAGGCAACAGTTAAGATGCAAAATAAATATATTTCCAAAGCTGTCAGAGATGAAACCCCAGGAGGATTAGATGTTTTAAAAATGAAAGAAAAGCAAGACGAGCAAAAAGAGTCAGAAGCAGCTAATGGAGTTTATATCGCTTCAAAATAATAATTAAAACATGTAGAGAAAAGACTTCATTATTGAGAGCTAGCTGGATTTATGATAGCAATGATCAGGGAAATGTCTAAACGACTTTGGATGCTGTGAGGATTTTCTTTTAGCTTGCATCTAATAATCAAAAATCATAGTATTATGCTCATTCAGTGATGAACTGATTTCTGAACACAAACAGCTAAACTTGTATTGTCCTTTTCTGCGGATGAGCTGAAAAAAATTTCAGTAGTTGTAAATTCCACAGCAAGGTCTAACATTAAAATGAGTTTCAAAAACGAATGTTTTATATCTGGAACCAAATTCTAATTCTCTGACTTAATAACCCAAAGCAGGAGAACCGAATAGAGAAATACGTGATTTAATCCAACTTAACAGCAATAGTTAATTTCCTGGCGGTTCTCCAACTGGTGTTATAGTAAAGCTTAGCATCCTTTTGAACTCAAAGGGCGGAGCAGAGACACAACACCAGTAACCAAGCAATAACAAGCCAGTAACATCAGATGTGGCTGATGGCTTCAGCCTCTGACAGATGATCCAACATCTGATACTTTTAAGAAGTAAATTTTGGACAAACTTTGCCATAGGTCTGGGTATGATGACTGTGCTCGTTAAGGATGCAAGGATTCCCTTAACGAGCAGTGATGCAGACTTTAGAGTTACTTTAGCATGGGAAGAGGTGAAAGTGCTTTGGTGGTGCAGTGGTTAGCGCACAAGACCCATGTACAGAGGCCTTAAGGCAAATTTATGCTTCTGACGCATAGCCTCTGCAACAGTCAAATCTGTCTCTGTGCCCGACCACTGCAACTGTCGTTGCGCGCCTCAAAAAAATCCTGACTACGCGTCAGATGGTCGAAAACTCGCGCAGACCTCAAGCGGAAGTGCGCAGACAAAAGGCCGCTGTGATTGGTCCTTGGTATGCCTTTCCGGCTGTCTGTATGGTCGTCCTTCTTGATTCGGTGCCGGGGCGTGCCGCTTTTAAAAACCGAGTAGAAACTACAATGGACCACTACGACGAAAGGTTAATCGAGGAGATTTAGAAGTACAACCACTTGTATGATGCCTCAGACAAATTATATAACAATGACAAGGTCTCTGCCAAAAGAAAAAAAAAAAAAAAAAAAAAAAAAAAGAGTTCTCTTGAACCATCTGCCGAAGTTTTCACGATTTCTCGAATAGGCTCCCCTTTGCGCTTTGGCGGGAAACTGCTGTGCCTCCCTAGAAATTCCAGACCGACGGTGCAGAAGCATACCAGCAAAACTGGTTTGCGACCAGACCCAAGCGACATTTGATGTGTGCGGTTGCAGAAGTCTAATCTGCCCATTAGTCCTCGACGTGGCCGATGGGGGTTTGGATCCGGCTTGTCGCATGTCTCTCCCCCTCTCTCATACCCCCTTCCTCTCAGCCTACTGTCCAAAAAAACAAACAAGCCACCAGTGCAAGATGGGAAGCGGTGGTAATCCTTATCTGGTATCCCCAGAATTTTTACAGTAAAGTTTGAAACTGTGGTTTTGTAAAAGTTCAAACAAGTTCCAACAAAATGATGACAAAGTGCCAAATATCCAAGTTTGCCTTAATGTATTACTGGGTTTTGTAGATTAAAGCTCAAAATGTTCATCGAAAAAGGTTCTATTTTTAGCTGAATATGAAACGAAATGTTCCTCTGGGGAGAAAAATCCCAAATCCATTTGGACGACTCACTGTATACAAACATATGTGGAAAATGCTTAATCATCTCAAAACATTTAAAATACCCACAAACATCACACTGCAAAACAAACAAAATCTAAATAAAAATGTAAGTTATACATTTCATTTATTCAAGTAAATGTTATGTTAGCATAACATGTTTAATGAAGACGTGCTAATTTGTTGTTTGTGTTTGAAGCCTCTGATAGTGATTGTTTTCTTCTGGCGTCCTGCATCAAAGCCTGAATCAGGAAGATAAACCATGATGGACTACAGGAAGGAAGAGTGCAGTCAGGAAGTGGGAACACACAGATAAAGAATAGATAGAAGTCCACAGCATCAGAGGAGATTGAAGTGGAGAACCGAGTTCAGCTTAGCTGTACAGTACCAGGTCTTCTCTGATTATTAATCATACATCGAACATTCCTCTTTTTTTGCTCAATTTCCTAAGCGATCAAACAACATCCCAATCCTTTTCTACCTGACAGAGGCAGCACCACATCCGTTTATAACCAAATTGTATTTTATTTCTGCAGGTTGACTATGAGAAAGCCTCAAAGTCTGCAAAAAGGAATCAAAGTACTCACGGGTTTCTGGAGGAAAAAGACGGACAGGGCTCCGATTAGAGGCATGTCCCCCAGGAGAGGCTCCATCACCACCCTCAGCATGCCCTGAAGCTGCACAGACAACAAAACAACATGAAACAGCTGCTGAAACAGAGGATGATATTAAAGCAGACTTTTAAGAGGTAAAATCATGACTTCAGATGAATGATTGTTTAATAAATTTAAGTTAAATGATCTATTCGATCGACTAACGATTACCTGTTAAGCAGCAATTTTGTTAAAAATCTCAGGTTTATGTATGAAGCATATCTTTCCACACATTAAGGGCTAAATATTTTTTTCACATTATTCTGAAATAAAAAAGTATTTCATCATATTCCAACAAATTATTATGCCGGCTGTAATAAATACTGAGAGAATATAAAAAAAAAACATACGCATTATTAAAAATTTGTTTTAAAACTTTAAGATACAGCAAAGCCGGAAACTATTGGGTTACTGAATTAAAAGAAAAGATGAATAGAAGGCATGCTGCTCTGACTTGCTGTCAGACTACTTTTTATGTGTGTAAACGGAGTGGACTTTATCAGTGATATGGGAAAGACTTTGCTGTTAGCAGCTCTTTTAAACAGGCAGTTCTGGTTGCTCACAGAGGGATGATAAAACTTGCACTATGTATTGCATTAACTCACTTCTCAATCTACTCTACTTATTGCTAGCATGTTTTTTACTAATAAAAAACATGCTGTCATACAAGTTTAGCATAATGCCGCCACTCTTCCATCATTACAGCCTCATCATCTAAGTGCAGCAGTGCACGCTATTTAGGTGATAACTTAGGCCAGGGGTCCTCAACGTTTTCCAGGCTAAGGACCCCAAACTGATGGCGAGATGGAGCGGGGACCCTCTAATTATGTATACTGTGTTATATCAAACTGGTCCTACAGTCACTCTATTACAGATGGAGTAATATAATGAAGGTAATTTCACCGTGGGATTATTAAAGTATTTTTGATTCTGATTCCTGGTTGATGGGACAGGTGTTGTGAATAAAATGGTTCCCAGCTCAAAAGAGCTGTGTGTTGCTGAATGTGTGCATTGATGACTGAAAGACATCTTCTGCCTTCATTTATCTTTTTTACTACAGTGTATTGAATTCATGTTAATATGTTTTTAAAGACATTTCAATTAGTGAAGAAAAAATGCAGATGGGAATATAAAAAAAGGTCTAATGAACCAAAACTTTCGGGACTCCCATGCAGTACCTCAGTGGACCCCCTAGAGGTTGTGGACCTCCTGTTAAAGACCTCAGACTTAGATGTTTATCAAGCGTTTATATTTACAAACGGAACATGAAGTAAATTCTGCATTGCTGTCAATCATTTAAGAGTGTAGATAATTCTGGACAGGGACTCCGGATAGATTCATGTTTCGGCACTAGCATGCTTTCGCTCTGGCATTACTTCTCGTGCAAATTCTGGTAGCTTTGTTTAAGAATGTACAGTGGTGCCCTCTACTGGGTGTTGTCACATTACAACACAGAAAGAAACTCCCTCTAGACAGTTGATTTAAATAAATCCAAATGGAAATGTAATTAATTTCCATTTGTCAATAATTGACAATTGTGAGTCTGTTGTTTGTTTATTTCCCAATTTAATTATTTTACCAAAATCTACAGCAACATGAAGCTGAAAGAAACAAACACCTCATTATCTCCATATTAGGAACATATTTGCTGAATACAAATCTATATCATTCATTTTCACATGTTTCTAAGTGTTTGAGGGAGAAGCCAAACAGGGACAGGGTATTTTTTTCCTGCTGCAGTGAGTCAAACAACAGGCATGTAGACCGCCTGGCTGCAGCACCTAATTTGGCCATTTCTTCTAGCTTTCAGTAACCAAAGAGTATTTTGTTCATGAAAATCAGTCTGCCAAAGAAGATTGAAGATGGACATTAGTTTTGTTTATGTCCACTCCCTCCTGTAGCCCCGTCCTACTTTAACGAGGGGGCTTTATAAATAATGTGCAGCACGTAATGCCTCTCTACTTGGACGGAGGGGAAGTGTATAAATAAAAGATGTGAGATAACTCATGAAAATAAGTGACTGATAATTTATACAGACACCACTATAGTCATATTTGACAGCCATTGAAAAGCATCCATACAGCATTTTATTGCAGCTTTAAAATGAAAGTGACAAATATTGACTAAGCTGCTGAAAATCAGCAGTTTCTCTTCTTCCTACTCACTTACCCTGCCTCTCTGATCTCTGAACAGCAAACATGGCCTGATCTTATGCCAACAGCTGAGTGGATAACGTCTGCTTTATCAGACCTGGGTCAACACATTATGTAAAAACGTCTCTATGAAGGTTATGGATTATTGCAGGGGTCATGGCTAAAAGAATAAAGCCCAGCATAATCCTGTCTGACTGAGAATTGTGTGATTATGAGAAGCTGAACAGTTGATAGAACATGCTGCACAGCCAAAAGGCAGAGTTAAGTTTTATCCCTGACTGTGCTGCGGTGGATTTCTTTTATACATTTTTAAAAAGTTATTAAAATAAAACTAATGAACCATATCTCAAGTTCAATATGCAAAAATTTTTTTTTTTACTTTAGATAAAATATTTATTTTAACTGTGTAGTTTTAATGTATTTAATATTTTATAAATTCAACAAATCAAAGTTTTTGGATAAATCTTACTGAAATACACTCAAGTCTTCTGTAAATTTTTTCTTCAGGGCTTTAAATACTTTTAAAGTCAATATTTATACTTCTGTGAGCAGCCCTGCTCTCTTTATTCTGCCCTCGTATTTTCAGAAACATATTTATTACTTTTGTTCTTAACTTTAAATAATTATCATGTTTACCAACTGACAAAACTGACATTTTCCCCAAACTTCATTTTCTTACTTTTCCTAATTAATAAAATCTATCATGTCTTTTTTTTACTTGCGTTTATTCTGCTTTTTTGTGGTCCACTTGCTTTGTTTTACAAATGTTTTTGCTTTTATTTTCCAACATTTTATTTATCAATTCATGTAAAGCACTTTAAATTGTCTATGTACTGAATTGTGCTTTACAAATAAAAGTGCCTTGCCTGGAAAAAAAGCTGAAAGTCGTAGGGAAGCGGCTGTTCCAACCGTTGCATTTTGAATTCTCCCGAGTGATGCCCTACTTTAAATGAGTAAATAAAGTGAATGTGATTGGTCGTTTATCAAGGGGGCGGGATTGTTGTAGCGGAAGGTTTGCAATCAAGTTTGATTGTGTCCGGTGTCTCGGAAGCATCTTGCTAACCAGTTAGCAACTTAGTACTAGTAGATTCCCAATGGGAAATTACATTGGGACCAAGTAGCATTTAGCAAAGACGCTGGACAGCGGAAACATGCAAGAGGAGAAGAGTTTTGTGTTGGAGGTCATGGACGAGTCTCCTCCGTCATACATTTTTTATTTAGAGCAGGAAAGCGGGGATGAAGTTGCTGTGGAAGAGGACGCCAGGGCGGCAGAAGCTTGGTTTGGTGTAGAAGGCTTACAGCCGTACATGTTTGAGCCCTTGCCTCGCAACGCTGCCAGTTCTGTTAGCTCTACGCCTGCTGAAGACACAGACGTCCATCCCCGTGAACACTGGGACTGAACTTAATGGGAAAGGAAATGATTCTTATTTCAACTGTTGCATTTATTAGCAGTGACATATGAATTAAGATGGCATGACTGAAAAAATTAGATTGACAGATGACCCCTGATATATGATTGGCTAAATTTCGGTGTTCAAGCTGAAGTATAAGTAACTGGCCTGCATAAGATAACGAAAAAAAATACAGATTTTAGGACAGGATTTTTTCTTAAATAGAAATTTTTTTTAATTTTGCAACAATATCATCTGATAAAGAGTACATTTATATACATGTTTAAGCCAGAATATTTAACATTTAAATATGACTTCCCTATGACTTTAAATCAAAGTTTTTCCAACAGTAAGTTTGCTACAGTAAGTTATTTTGGATTTTATGAGACAATGACCTATTTTCCTCTAATCAAAATGTTTTTTTGCCCAAAACGATTCATTGAAATAATTTTGTTGCTAACAGGTTAAAATATGTAGAAATTTGTGAACACACTTTATCTAGTTTTAACATGGAAGAGGTCCTGTTATGGTCTGGGACTGCTTTGCTTCATCTGGTGTTGGAATCTCTGCAGGGTCCAATGAGATTTCAAGACTATCCAGGGATTCCAGAGAGATAGATGCTGCCCGGTGTCAGGAGGCTTGGGCTCAGCAGGATAATGACCCAAACAAACAGCTAAAAACAAGAATGACTAAGAAAATAACATTGGGCTATTCTGAAGTGGCCTTCTATGAGCCCTGACCTTAATCCTACTGAGCATCTTTGGAAGCATGGAATATATATTTTTTATTTATTATCACTTCTCTCAGATTCGTGTCTTTTTTTTTTTTACCACTGTGGGTTTTTTTCTTTAATTAAACGAAGGGTACCAACAATTTTATCTAAAAAGCTGATCCGTCATACCTGAATGCTTTTGATCCCAGCTCTGCAGTAGTACTTCTTGATGTCAATGTCAATTTCTGTGTTGCCAACAAAACTAAAGGTAGGAGTGAAAAAAACAAAAAGAAACAAGTGAGAAAGCAAATAATTAATGTGAAAAACAATAGTAACGATATAATAGAAGTATATTGCTAAAATTTTCAGTCATTAACAGAAAAAAACCTAAATATAGGATATTTTTGTGTGGCTCTAACAGTCTCTATGTGCAACATAAACTAAGACTTAACTCATACTATCTTTGCTTTATAAGCTGTAAACATCCAGGGAGGAGATTCTGTTCTGTACAATCTGCTCTTAGTGTAAAGATCAACTTTTCTGTTCTGTAAAATATTATGACAAAACCTTCAGGTTTGATTTAAATCAGTGGATAAAACACCTTGAAAGAAGGATAAGTAAAGAGTTTTAAAATATCCTTCAAAAAATTTTACTTGAATGACAAAGAAAAGACAAAGCCTTACTGACCATAACGTTATCATCACTTTCAACGCATCCATCTACAGCCACATAGGCCCTCATTCTATCGCAGACTGATTTTTTGTTTGGTTTTCTGCACAGTAATTATAAGGATCTAACTCTAAATGTATGCTTCCACTGTGAAATCTACAAAACCTCAATATGATGGGGAAAAAAGCATAGTCAGAAGCACCATAATGACACTGGAAATGCGGAAAGGAGGTCTACCTGATCTGCAGGTCCATGATAACCTGCCTCTTGTCCACGTTTTCTGTGTAAACTTTCACCCCGTTCACTCTAATTGGCTGCAGAAACAAAAACATGAAAACAAAAAAGGTTAAAAGGAGCAGCTTCTCTCTCAGATTGGAGGAAAAAGCTTTCAGCTCAGGTGAAAGATCAAAGCTTTTCTAAAATAGACCAACTCTGTTTCTGAATTCCAACAAGGTTCAAGGGCATAAAATCACATATTAAACAGAAGTGCAATGAAGAAACATTTAAAACTTACTCTGATTCAACAGATACCAAAGATTGGTAAAGTTGTAAACTGATTAAAATAAACTGTAAGAAACAAAAAGTCTCTGATGACCTGTTAAAGAATACAGCAGCTGGAATGAGTTCAATCGATGTTTCAGTTATATTTAAAACCATCTGAGTCACTAAGCAGCTTGAAAACAACAATAAGCAGTAGAAACAAAGATTGGTTCTGCTTTTAACAGAGAGAATACGATTTAAGCAGTAGAAATGTGGACATGTGCTTAATTTTATTTGAAAGAATCTTCTATGTAATGATGCTACCAGGAATCAGAACCAAGTTTTTCTGATATATGGACATATTTGGTCTTTACTGTAAGAGTAAAGCACAGAAACAATAAAAGTGTTCTCTGCAAACCAAACCGAAACAAGTCAATAAGCACTGACCTGGACAGTAAAATCTTTCTTTTAAACACTTAAATCAAATATTAGAAAAGGCCAGCTGCAAAAAAAGGACAACAAACAAACCCTTTCTACAACACTAACTGTTTAAAGTATTATTTTCTTCCAAATATCCATGAAAATACTTTTTTTAGCAAAGATGTAAGTGTAAATTTACAAATAAATTAAATATATAAGAGTTTATATATTGTAAAAAAAACCACACATTTTTAGATGTTTCTCTGCTTCACAGACCTGACTCAAACAATCAGGCCATTGATTGAGTTGTGGAAGCAGAGACACATCTAAAATATGCTGGAATTGAGGAAGCTTGCATTAGAATATCGTTTGGCCTGTTTGGTAACCTGAGGGCGTTTTCCGTATACTACACTAAATCACTAAACTTGTCTAGGTTGTGGGTCAGCTCATTGTATAAACCAGATCTAACCAACTTTATTTTAACTGAATAATGTCTTCTCTCCATACCTTGTCTCCCATGTCGATCTTGGTGAAGCAGAAGCTGCTAAGATGAGGGTTGGCTCCTCTCACAGCCGGCTCGATGGTCTCCCTGAACAGTTTATCCACAAACTGGGAGATGAACGGCCACATCTGCTTCACTGTCTGAAGGAAAGCAGAGAGATAAGGAGTAAGATGCTTTACAGGGGTTGATATATCTACCTCCAAGAACATAATCCATACCAACCCATCAACCCCATTGATTGGGAGCTACAACTTTGTTTCCAGTTTGCTATTGAAACCAGTACAACAAACAGAAGCTGTAGAGTAAGTAGTAGGTGTTATACAATACGCACGACAGCTTCCAAATGTGTCATTTTTCTGCTTTTATATTGATGCTCTACTTAGTATTGGTCTATTAGATAAAATATTAATAAAATAGATCAAAGTTTGCTGTTTAAAGGTAAAAAAAAAAAATGCTGATGGGTATAAAAACTTTTCAAAGTGCCCTGTAATTATAGGTATTTCCTTAATGTCTGATTAATTTCAGACATGTTTTCTGTTAGAATACTTTTCAGAATGAAGTTTGCAGCTAAACAAAGAGCTCATCAGAGAGGTTGAAACCTTTATGCTGTTTTCTACATCAGAGTTCAAGTATTTTTGGAATTTAGACATTATTCTTCCCCAGGTTATCTGCACTTGAAGAGTGAAAGAGTCTAAAAAAGAATTGCCCATACTTCAGATACCTCTCAGTTAACAACTAGCAATAATATGGTTTAGAGGAAGCACAGATCACCTTTAAAAGGCCTCTGAGTGCTTCCAATACATATATAATTTAGAAACAAGCCACTGCTGTAAACATCAATCTTGTTGTTTAGGTAGTGGTAATGGAATGACCTGGAAGGGCAAACAAACAGTTACAGTCAGCAAATCTCTTCCAGGAACTGATCACATCTCTGATCTCAACTGATCTCTTGTTTCACCCCCTCTGTGGAGCTCAGTCACTGGGGTGCGGTCCCTCAGGAATCCAGATTCAGTGTCTATTTTAAACCCTATACTGTCTACTTTGTCAAGCTATTAGGAACATGATGAGGTTTGTGGTGGAAATCACATGAAACAACGAATGCTCATATCTGTACCTTATTGAGCCACTCCACTCTCTCCACATCTGGATAATGGACCTGGAAGAACAGAAAGGATACAGTCAGAATCAATGAACTGCTCTTCAATAACAGTTTCAACCCTTTTGAATCTTTGAGACAATATTTGCTCATCTTAAGCTATTCAGTCATAGAACACGGTGACCCCTTTAACGCCAGGCACTAACACGCATCAAGGACATTAGGTCACACTCAGGACATTCTGAGGAAACTTTCATCTCTACCTTTGGAGGTGCCCTAATATACCTGATCTGCATTAGTTAAGCTGTCCTTTCCACTATACGATCAGTACCATCAGCTCAATTGTGCATAAGCAACTAGATATGCTGGTGAAGATTCTCAGTCATCCAGGTCATAGTCATTCCGTAACAGTTTAAAAAAACAATCCACTGTTAAAGTTTTACGGAACAACCAGATATACATCCGGGTCGCCCTCGAAATAACCTGGCAAAGAAAGTCCTTTCTAAAAATTGTAATCATACTAAACTATAATATGTTAAAGGTTAATAATGAATTTCCTGAGAAAATAAATGCATTTCAATCCTTGCCGTTTTACCACTCGTCTGCACCGAAAATGTGATCCTAAGCTACTTCTGGGAGCAAATTTTTCAGCTTCAAGCGTAAACAAATCTAGTCTTCTTGAGTTTTTTTTTTTCCTTTCGTGTTAACATTATGGTATATAGTGTGTAACCTAAAGAAAGAAACAACTAAAATGCAGATAAACATGGTTTAATCATATTTTGCCGGACTGCTTTGATCATGTCCGATTATGACGTCAGACAAGCAGTTTAACGCAATTTAAAAAGCATCAAATCGTCTCAGAAAAGTTGCAAAAAAAATGTAAAGATGTGCATTAGCATACTTCAGAGATTTAATGATAGAAATAAATACTTTTAGTACCATAACTACATTATTTAAGGTAACTTGGATGTATATCTGCTCGCACATGTGCAGATGAGCTGATGGTATGGGTCGTACTTCCGGTACGTATCGGTAGTGACACTCCTGACACAAACCAGGATACTGGAACCAGGGATAAATAAAGTTGAGTCTTAGCCTAGGTCTAAGTCCAAATTAAAATGATCAGCCACCGACCTAAGGTCTTATTTCTAGGATGGTGTTCAGGAGGAAAGGAACAAATAAATGATTTAAAAACCTTTAATAACCCAGAAAGTGTGGCTAAAACTAAACACTGCTGTCAAACAATTGAAACAAAATATTCTGAAGACAGGCAATTTTACTGAAATTATTATTTTACCACTTGGGGGAAGTCACTGCCAGCTTTCAATGACACATTTTTAGACTTTCATTTATTTTACAATGTATTCTTTGCCAACATGAAAGCTTTAGTTGTCTAATACAATCCTAAAGTTGACCACCCACAATCATTGAACATATGGAAGCAATAGAAGGATGTATTTTCAAAATTACTTGAAAAATGAAAAAAAAAAAAAAGAGTTTTAGTCAGAAAACTGTTAAGGACATTTTTCTGCTGTCATTAAGGAAAATTGTCACAAACCTCATGTTTTATTTAAAAAGTATTATGCTGGTTCTTTGAGCCCTGCCATGAAGTTTGTGAAAAACTTTTACATTTCTTAAATTTACTCTGCAACTCCGACCCTCTGCTGTCTTCATTATGTTTGAGTCAGTTTCACAGCTTTTGCTCACATGAAGCCCTTAGGTTCTCCATATGAAGCTCTCCCCGAGGTTTCCCTCATTATTGCAGTGCACTACATTCAGCATGACCTCTGGTGTTCTTTTAAACAGGCAGTAATTTACCATTTTCTACATCCAAACCTTTTAGCTCAAAAATGATAGAACAGTTGTTTCACAGGTTTTAAAGCTTTACTCGGTACTGAACCACTGACTCAGGGAACTGCGTTATCGTTTTGCTCCTAGATTAACCTGCTAGCTTTGAAACTGTTGATCATAAAATCTTATTTATCATTTAGAGCATTGTGTGGGTTTCAGGGCTACTGTATTGCAGTGATTCTATTTTGTATTTGGCAGAGCGAACCTTCTTAATCAAACTTTTGGGTCCTCTGCTGCTGTTCTTCAGTGTGGGGTCCCACAGGGGTCAGTGTTAGGCCTCTTGCTCTTCTTCTTCTCCTCATACCTGCTTCCCCATGGTTCTATTTTTAGGAAATTCTGGGTTTGGGGCTTTTATACACATGACTCGCACATTCATCTCCCTCTTGAAAGGCCAAGACCTTCTAATTGGACTTACCGTTCAAATGTGTTATTAATATAAAGTTAAAGGATGGCTTTAAACTTTTTTACATTTGAACATGCAAAAAACAGAGGTGATATTATTGACACCTCCAACATAGATCTTGGTTCCCTGGCTAAATATATTAGACCGATTATCCCAAATCTGGGAGTTTAGAGTGATGCAGATCCTACAGTTGAAAAGCCAGATCAGAGTGATTGCAAATCTGTTCGTTTTTTTTTTTTTTTTAAAGATAGTAAATTTAAAGCTATTTACATCAAGGCAGCAATGAAACTGTGATTCATGTATTTCTTACATGTAGGCTGGATTAGTGTAGCTCATTGTATTTTGGGGTCAGTGATGCATCCATCAGGCGCCTGTCGGATTTGCAAAATGCTGCAGCCAAACTCAACTGGAATGAAATCTTCATTGGATATCTGTAGGTTTTAGGATACCTTTTGAAGTTATCATATTAATATTTAAATCTCTTAATATCTTGCCCCCTCTATAGTTACCATCCTATAGTTAATGTCTTTCTTTCAGATGAACTGTGATCCATAACCCTGCCTGCTACCTTAGGTTAGCCAACCAGCAGCTCCTTATTTTTTCTAAATCTAAGCAGAAACTAAGAGGACCTTGCCTTTACCTCCAATATTGTGGAACGATCTACCATAGCATGTCAAGCCCTAAGCCCTAACCACTAGGCCGCCACTCCCCCACTCATTTGAACACTATTATTACATGCAAGTTCAGCGGATTGCTTTGTAATCATGAGGAGCTAACCGCAACTCACTGTTCCTCAACTCCAACAATTCACTCTGTGTATTTAACTTTGCCACAAAAATATATCATCTAGTTCCCTTAAGAACATTAAAACCCAAATCTGAACCAGTAGGCTTTATTTTTAGAATGAAGTCACAACACAGTCTTCACAGATATCTGAATCCTAGAAATAACAACAGAGGCTGGGCGGCAGCACATGTGGAATATGTGTGATGTTTGACAAGAAATGATTCTGCTTTAGAGTCTGACAGGGTGTTTATTAGGGGTGGGTATTGGCAAAGAAGTCACGATTCGATTCGAATCACGATTCACATGCCACGATGCGATTCTATCACGATGCATCACGATACTTGAAATATTGCGATGCATTGTGATATTTTCACTAAACACTGTAAGAAAAAGATACAGCCCTTACCAGTGGCTGACTGGCTGGGTGTGATCTGGATAGTGTCTTCAATTGATACATAACTGAAAGCAACTGAATTCATACATAGCTGTATTTATTGAAATTACTTTTGGAGGTGTTGCAATGAAAACAAATACTGGACAGAAATATTACTATTACTGGCATGGACACACCAACAAAAAGATCTTAGGATTCATCAAACTTAAAATAACAAAATGAGGATAATCAGTCCGGACATGCTTATGACACAAAGCAGCAGGCGTCAACACATCCGCAGCGACATCTGCTGGACTGGAAGTTGTATTCCACTTGGTTTGATTGATGTGCGCCAACCATTAATGTATTTTATTTGTTCATTTTTTTTTTTTTTATAATCGATTCTTGCCTTCAAGAATCGATTCAGTAGATCACAAAAATTAGAATCACGATTCATCGATTTGACGATTATTTTGCACACCCTTAGTGTTTATGCAGCAGAATCAAAGCTGCAGTGGACAGCCAGGAGTTACAGACCCGTTACATAATAGACACAAGGAGGATTCTGCAGAAGTTTGATGTTTATAAGCAAAGGGTGTCAAATGTGATGTATTTAAAACAGGCTAAGGTGAGAAGATGCAGGAGGAAAGTCTATCACTCCTATCAAAGTAATACCTTTAGCAATCTCTACTGTTTCTAACAGCAGATCAAAGCTGTTTGTACTGTAGGGCTGCTTCGTTCTAACACACTCAAAAAAAAAAGAAAAAAAAAAATCACATTTATTTATTTAGTTTAACGAAACAAAAAAGTTAGCAAGTTGGTTTGAAAACATTAATTTCAGCAGATTAAAAAAATTTAATAAAAATAGAACTGGAAATTACAAAACAACATTCAGTCATCAATACGATCTTAAAATCAAATCAATTGACATAAAATTTTGAAAAATTTTTTACTATTTAACACAAACATTTAAAGAAGCTATTTGGAAGCACTGCAGGCCTCTTATTTCATGCTTCAGATGTCAAGTCATGCTGGATACTCCCTATTTTCCAGAAGAAATAAAATAAAATCAACTGAAACAAATTAAAGCAGCCTGAAAAAAAAATCTTCAAGGGAATTCATTTTACACCGTAATGCAGAATAATAGGGTTTTAAGTATTTCCCACTTAATTTATGCTGGTAGTTTTATCTTTGTGGGATAGTTCCTTTCATTATCAAACACATTTAATTCAACCTATGGATCAATCCATCTATAAAAGCCACGGTAGAACAGGATGTTTTATCAAATGTACATAATGATTACAATGTACTAGATTAGAAAAGATGACTGCAGTATTAATGATTGCTTTCATGGACCTCACAGTGAAGAAACAATTCACACAGCAGGAGTCGTAATCAAAGCAAACCTAGTTAAATTTGACTCGTATCATTTAGGACTGCAACTAACGAGTGTTTTGCTAATCTATCTGTCGATTCATTTTTTGATTAATTGATTAATAATATGAAGATGTTTTACAGAATTAAACCAGGTGATACTAAAACTTTTCCACTTGAGGAGTTTTGATGGAGCTTATTGATGGACTAAAAGTTTTTTTTTTTATTATCATCTTTGATGCAAAATGTTCATATATTTAACAGTTGTATAGT